GCTAGCCTTGAGCTGAAGAGCTGAGGGACAGTGCCCAGATCCAGAGTTCAAGCCCCACAACTGCCAAAAAGAATATAGAGGTTTTTTTTTTTTGGTCAGTTCTGGGGTTTGATCTTAGGGCTTTGTATTTGGTAGGCAGGTGTTTTAGCACTTGAGCCTTACTCTCAGCCTGTTTGTTTTCATTAGGTTTTAAATAGGCTCTCAGATTGATGACCTGGGGAACTGCCTGTCCTTTCTGCATACTGGGATGGCAGGTGCACTCTACCATACTATTGTTCAAATTGAGAGACCTCACCAACTTTTTTTTTTTTTGGGGGGGGGGTCCGGTCGTGGGGCCTGAACTCTGGGCCTGGGCGCTGTCCCTCAGCTCTTCAGCTCAAGGCTAGCGCTCTACCACTTGAGCCACAGCGCCACTTCCGGCTTTTTTCTTTTTGCTTATGTGGTGCTGAGGAATCGAACCCAGGGCCTCAGGCATGCAAGGCAAGCTCTCTACCACTGAGCCACCTTCCCAGCCCACTCACCAACTTTTTTACCTAGGCTGACCTCAAAATGATATTCCCCTGATCTCTGCCTTCTGAGTAGGTAAGATTATAGATGTGAACCATTGCACCCAACCTAAATGTAGACAAATTCTTTGCCACAATGTAATGTGAATGTCCTATAGTCCAACTACCAACAAACTTCTGATTTTCACTTGAAACCTTAAAAACACAATCTTACTTATCAGCATTCCTGTCAGCACTCTGGTCTTAACTCCCATTTAAGGTCTATTTACAGCACTAGTGTAGGTTTTTTCCTAGCCTCTAGACTGCTCGGTACTCTTCCAAATTCCTCCCACAGACTAGTCCCAAAGGCTTCAGAACCATATTGTCAGATAGTCACAACAACCCTGCTTCTCTGTAACAGTTCTCTGTATTAGGTCTTCTCCTCACTGTGGTAGAATGCCAGAATGACTTGAAAGGAGAAGAAAGATTTATTTTACCTCACACTTTCAGAATTTCAGTCCATGGTCCTTCACTCAATTCTGGTCTTGTGGTAAAGTGATCTATTTTCTCTAATCTCCTAAAGTTTCCAGAATTTCCCCAAAAGAGCACCAATGTTCAACACTTTTGGGGGTGGGGAGTCCAGTCATGGGCCTGAACTCTGGGCCTGGGCGCTGTCCCTCAGCTCTTCAGTTCAAGGCTAGCACTCTACCACTTGACCCACAGCACCACTTCTGGCTTGGTGCTGAGAACTCAAACCCAGGGCCTCCTTATGCATTCAAGGCAAGCAATCTACCACTGAGCCACCTTCCCGGCCCCTGTTAGATTTTTAATTTGATGCAATCCCATTTGTCAGTTCTTGTCATTATTCCCCAACCTGTTGAGATCCTGTTTAGAAGTCAGTTGTCTATACTTGAATTTTTTTTCTGTGTTTTCCTCTAGTAGTTTCAAAATTTCTCAAGTCTTGAGGTCTTAGGTCCATTTTATATGTTTATATATGTATATATATTATGTATGTTATGTATAATGATGTAGAGTGAGAAGTAAGGGATCAGTATGAATACCAGTTTTCATGGCACCAGTTCTTAAAGAGGCTGCATTTTCTTTTTGTCACCTTCCCAACAATCTAATTGCTGTAGCCAGATGAGCTTGGTTCTGCATACTGCTGCATTGCATTCATCCAGGTGTCAGTTTTTGTACCAGTATCTTGCTGTTTTTATGTCGTCTCTGTAATTTAATTTGAAATTGAGTATTGTGATATCTGTAGCATTACTATTTTCTCCTTCAATTATAAAGGCTGGCTTTGTTGGGTTCACTAGTATAGGTTGGTAATTATTTTTCAGGCCTTGTATTATATCCTTCCATGCATTTAGAGTTTGTGTTAAGAAATCTGCTGTTATTCTAATGGGCTTACTGTTTATTGTAACTTGTCTCGTCTCCTTTTCAGATTTCAATACCCTTTCTTTGTTCTGTATATTTAGTGGTCTAAATACTTAGTGTTTGGTGCTTCACTGGTCTTGCCAGTATTCTGTGAGTCTCCTCCACACTGATGACCCTTTCTTTCTCAAGACTGGGGATACTTTCTGCTATTATTTTATTGGAATAGATTCTCAATTTCTTTAGATTATATCTCTTTTTCTGTACCAATGATTCAGGAGTTTAGTGTTTTGCTTTTCTGAGAGGACTTATAAATCCATTTGTATTTCCTTAGTGTTTTATTTTTATCAATATCAGTCTTTGACTGATGATTTCCTCATACCCTATTTTCAACTTGTTCTTTTTTTTTTTTTTTGCCAATCCTGGGGTTTGAACTCAGGGCCTAGGCACTGTCCCTGAGCTTTTTTTGCTCAAAGCTAGCACTCTACCAGTTCCAGCTTTTTCTGTTTATGGGGAACTGAGAGATCAACCCAGGGCTTCATGAATGTTAGGCAAGCACTCCACCACTAAGCCACATTCCCAGCCCCTGGTTTTGTTTTGTTTATTTTTTGCCTATATGAGGATTGAACTGTGTCTGGGCACTGTCCCAAAGCTCTTTTGCTCAAGGCTAGGGTTCTACCATTTGAACCACAGTGGCCACTTCCTTCTACCACTAGAGCCACAGTGCCACTTCTGGCTTTTTTGAGTAGTTTTTTGGAGATAAGAGTCTCACAATCTTCTGGCATAGGCTGGCTTATCTTCAGATCACAGTAGCTAGGATTACAGGCACGAGCTACCACCCAGCCTGTTCTGTTTTTTAAAAGACTGTTCTGTTTTATTAACCAGTCTTTTTCTCATCTTTTCTCATCTCATTTTTTTCTTCTTCATTATCACTAAGACTTTTTTTTTTAAGTTTTTTGTCAAGATGATGTAAAGAAGGGTTATAGTTACATAGGTAAGGTAGTGGGTACATTTCTTGTCGAACTTGTTACCCCCTCCTTCATTTTTTTCCCACTTTCCCTCCTCCCCTATCCCTCCAGGTTGTACAGATCATTTCCAACATATTATCTTGTGAGTATCACCGTTGCATTGGTTCCCCCCTTATCCTTTGTCTCACCATTTTGTTCCCCTTGCCTAATTCAGATAAACGTATATGCAATACCCAGGGTACCAAAATCAAATACAGTGACAACAGGAGATAAACCATATTAAAAAGAAACACACAAAAGAAAAAAAAATCACATAGTACATTAAAAATAACAACAACAAAGAAAAACCTTTTGTTTCCATATCTTGAAGTTCATTTCGCTTAGCATCATCTTATATGGTCATATGTACATAGCTATTGAGTTATTCTGCTTGTCTGCTAGGATTTTCCTAGACATACACTAATTATTATAAGTGAGGGAAACCATACGATCTATCTCTCTTTGGGTCTGGCTTACTTCACTTAATATGATTTTTTCTAAGTCTTTCCATTTCCTTATAAATGGGGCAGTGTCATTCTTTCTGATGGAAGCTATATATATATTCATAATCCATATCTTAGCTATGGTAAATAATACTGCGATAAACATAGTTGTGCTGGTAGCTTTAGTATGTTTGTGGTCATTTGGGTAAATGTCCAGAAGTGGGATTTCTGGGTCATAGGGGAGCTCTATGTTTAGCCTTTTGAGGAACCTCCATACTGCTTTCTAGAGTAGTTGAACAAGTTAAAGAGAGACTTCTCTGAAGAGGAAATAAGAATGGCCAATAGACAAATGAAGAAATGCTCAACATCTCTGGCCATAAAAGAAATGCAAATGAAAGTAACATTGAGATTCCACCTCACCTCCTCCTACCCCTAGAATAGCTATAATCAAGAAATCTAATAACAACACATGTTGGAGGGGATATGGCCAAAAGGGAAAGCCTCTACACTTTGGTGGGAATGTAAACTTGTTCAATCACTGTCTTTTATTGTGGAGATTTTTACTTTGTTTTTTTTTTTAATTTTTTTTGTTGGTTGTGGAGCTTGAACTCTGGCCTTGGGCACTGTCCCTGAGCTCTTCAGCTCAAGGCAAGCACTCTACTACTTGAGCCACAGTGCCACTTCCAGTTTTCTGGGTTTAGTTGGAAGTAAGAGTCTCACAGATGTTCCTGCCTGGGCTGGCTTTGAACCTTGATCCCCAGATCTCAGCTTCCAGAGTAGCTAGGATTACAGGCATGAGCTGAAGTTTTTACTTTTAAAGGAGACATATTGCCTTGTTTATTTACAAATATAATGATTTTTCCCCCCACTGGGATTTATGCATCTTGGCCAAGTTTTGGTAGAGATTTTAATATCTTGTGTCCATTTAGTTGATCATTTCTTACAGAAAGTAATGGCTGAGTTGTGATGAATTTTCCAGTTACAAGATTAAAATAACATGTCTCAGTGGTAAATCAATATCAATGTTCAAGATACTATGCAGACTTCTTCTCTACTCAAGAATGTTGGAAGCCAAGGGCTGGGAAGGTGGCTCAGTGGTAGAGCGCTTGCCTTGTATGCCTGAGGCCCTGGGTTTGATTCCTTAGCACCACATAAGAAAACAGCTGGAAGTGGGCGCTATGGCTCAAGTGGTAGAGCACTAGCCTTGAGCTGAAGAGCTGAGGGACAGTGCCCAGGCCCAGAGTTCAGGCCCCACAACCGGACCCCCCCCCCAAAAAAAAAAAAGAATGTGGGAAGCCGGGCAGGTGGCTCACATCTATAATCCTAGCTACTCAATTCAAAGCAAGCTTGGGCAGGAAAGTCCCTGAGACTCTTATCTCCACTTAACCACCAGTAGTTGAATAGTGGCCCTTAAGTAATAGAGTGCCAGCCTTGAGTAAAAGAAGCTCAGGGACAGTGCGTAGGCCCAAAGTTCAAGCCCCACCACCGACAAAAATAAATAAATAAAATATAAATATAATTATCTTTAGTTGTACAAAGGGATTACCATTCAGCATGTGTTTGTTTTTTCTCTGAATGATCTGTTCATGAATATGACAGATAGATGAAGTATTGAAGTTACCTATTTTAATTAGGACGGTTGTACCTTTTTAGAGAGCCTATTTTCAGAAGTACTTTTGCTTTTTGTGTAGGGTTTGTGACACAGGATCTGACCATCAGCCTCTTAGTGATAACCAGCAAATGAATTGTGAACACTTAGTTGACAGCCTTTTTGAGGAAGCTCAGAAGATTGGTGCCAAATGTTTGTCTCCCACTGAACAGAAGAAACAGGTAAAAATCTTTTTTCTTCCAGTGTTTTTCTCCCTGAGGTCAACACTGGTTTCATAACAGTAAAGATGTTATTCACCATTTCACTGTATTAATTATGTTGCTGTTTCATATGTGTTGCAAAAACATCTTAGCAGAAGTCAGGCATTGACAACAAGCTGAACTACAAACCTTTGTATTCTTTGCTTGCACTTATAGGACAAATAAATCCTACTTAAAAATCTTAAATTTGGACCGGGAGCTGGTTGCTCACGCCTGTAATTCTAGCTACTTAGGAGGCCAAGGTCTGAGGATCAAGGTTCAAAGCCAGCCTGAGCAGGAATGTCTGAGACTCTTATCTCCAATTAACCAGAAGTGGCACTGTAGCTCACGCTGTAGAGCACTTGCCTTGTTTCTTGTTTTTTGTTTTTTTTTGTTTGTTTGTTTTTTTGGTCAGTCATGGGGCTTGAACTCTGGGCTTGGCCTCTGTCCCTGCGCTCTTCAGCTCAAGGTGAGCACTCTACCGCTTGAGCCACAGAGCCACTTCCGGTTTTCTAGTGGTTTATTGGAGATAAGAATCTCATGGACTTTCCTGCCTGGGCTGGCTTTGAACCGAGATCCACAGATCTCAGCCTCCTGAGTAGCTAGGATTACAGACATGAGCCACTGGCGCCCAGCAAGCACTTGCCTTGAGTTGAAGAGCTCAGAGCCAGTGCCCAGACCCAGAGTTCAAGCCCCATGACTAACAAAAAAAAAATTTAAATTTTCTGGATACCAGTGACTTACGACTATAAATCTTGCTACCCAGGAAGCTAAGATCTGGGAATCACTGTTCAAAGCCAGCCTGAGCAAGATAGCTCATGAGACTCACATCTCCAATCCACCAGAAGAGCCAGAAGTAGAGTTGTGGCTCAAGTGTTAGGAGTACCAACCTTGAGCAAAAAAGCTCAGTGGCACCTGAGGCTCATGCCTGTAATCCTAGCTCTTCAGGAAGCTGAGATCTGAGGATTGCAGTTACAAGTAATCCTAGACAGGAAAATCCATGAGACTCTTACCTCTAATAAAAACTACTGGGGCTGGGAAGGTGGCTCAATGGTAGAGTGCTTGCCTTGCATGCATGAGGCCCTGGGTTCAATTCCTCAGTACCACATAAGCAAAAAGAAAAAAGCCGGAAGTGATGCTGTGGCTCAAGTGGTAGAGCGCTAGCCTTGAATACGAGCCTTGAGCAAAAGAAGCTTAGGCACTATTAAAAATTAACTGTCCAACTTATGGGTGGGAATGGAAGGGAAAAACTGGGAGAATATGAGAGAAAGGGTGACATTGTCAAAAAAAAGTACTCTACCTGACTTTCATAAGAACAATTTTTAAAAGTTAAAAATTTTTTTTTAAAAAGCTCAGGGGCAGCACCCAGGCCCTGAGTTCAGTCAAGCCCCAGGACACACACACACACACACG